ACCGGACCGGACCGAACCATTTAACATCCCTACTTGCAACCCTTGGCATACATCAAGGTTGGATGACGAAAATATTTTGGAATGTAAAAAGTATTTTCATCAAATGGGGCACATGTGACGAAATGTGACTAAAGTGACGAAAGTGACAAAGGGTAAAATTTAATTATAAGCATTTTTTTTACATCGTAAATCATGTTCCTTAGTTGGATACTTAATTTTTGTACGCAATTTTTTAGTAAGAACTGCTGCTTCACATCTATTGCTGGTTCCATAACTTTCTTCAAAATCTGTAGACTAATTCTGATTGTTGAAATGCTTCTTCCTTTACTATTTTAATGAAGTGTAACCATACATCAGATAAAGGATGTCCTGTAGCTAATTCTTGATTATTGTTAAATGAACTTTCAATATATTATCTAATTTTAATGTTTGCAAAATTCATATTATATGATGATGATTGAGAAGGAATTGGTGAATTAGGTGAATTAGAATTTGACATCATGAAATTTTTTTACTCCATAATTTAAATCTACAAAATAATTGGTTTATTTTATTGTTTTGTTAATTTCATCACTTTTGTCACTTTCGTAAAATTACTCAGTTTAGAAATCCTATTTCGTCACATCTATTTTCGTCATGTGAGAGAAGGAGACATTTCGTCACCAACCTTGCCATACATTTACTTCACTCAACCTAGGGTCCTTTTTAATTGAGAAGGAGCTCCTAACAACAAGCATTTCACTTTGGTTGTTTGTGCAATCTAAAATTCCGTAGGAAAATAGAAACATAAAGTACATCATCTGAAAATAATGAATAGCAGTATATATAAAATTTGCAATCCTCGTACCATCATATATTTTGCTTTACTCAACTAAAAGATGTATTAATGTCCTATCTGATCATTTTGCTCCAATTTATGCTCGTCATATTATAAATGTAAAATAGTTTGTTGGCAAAAAAAAAATTTGAATAGTGACACATATGTATGTGATAAATGAAAAGACCTTTTGATAAAGGAATGGATATCATATAAATTGTTATGATATATTAGAAAAAAAATATGCAAATACTGTGAAGATTACAAGAAATGGATTTTCAAAAACATTGATTCATTTGTTGAAAAGTCTAAATGCTTTAACAAATGAAAGAGAATCAATCGGAAGAAGATGATGATAATGTAAATGTTGAAACAGGTTTAAACATGCATTAAGATAGAGAACTTTATTTAATAAAGTATTCTAATTAATTACATTAGCGCATATATATTTATAATTATTTTTAATGGGTTTTTTCTTTTTTTCTTCCCACTTTTTAAATGTTAATCTATCCAATGCCAATGATTTATTTATTGTCTTCCATATAGTAGCACATCATTGTTTCTATTTGAAAAGGAAAGACATGTAGATTTTATACTGTCTACTGACGAGAATTCTGTTTTTTTTTAGAGAAAGAGAGAAACGGTAAGCAGAAAATGCATATAAAATAAAAAAATTTAAAATAGAAAATTTAGATTGATTTTAATAATATTTGCGCCTAAACTAGTAACTTAGTTTAATTTGTTTAATGATTTGCTACATTTTCATGAAAAAAAAAGTAATTTTTAGTCTTATATTAAAGATTTTTTATAAGGATTGATATTTTTTGAGCCTTATTGGTGGAAAAAATTACTATACTAATATATATTAATGTAAAGAGTTATTATTGATATCTTTCAAAATGATTTTCAACTCATTAAAATCACCCTTGTTCCATTTTGAAATATTATAAAATTTAATTCTTCTTTTTTGATTTCTTTTTTTCATTCAAAGATATTGGTGAGATTTTAACTTTTACTGACCATTGTTGATTCGTTGGAGTTAATGGCTCACCCATTATGATACTATTGTATCTTCGATGATTTTCATCAATGATTTTCTATTTATAGAAAATTAATGGATGGACAAATAAAAAAAAGATATTATTAGTGATCACAATCATCATATTCATGAATATTCATTAAGGGGGTTACACTTATCAAAATCAAGTGATTGACACATA